TTTTCCAAGGCAGGGAAAGAAATTCGGAGGAACGTGGTCATTTTTCAAAAGGATCGAGCCTATAGACGAAGTCCTTAAATGGGTTATTTTTCACAACGGTCATGGAAAGTTTCTAAAAAAAAAAAAATGTTTTGATTATAGATTTGTATTTTAACAAAGTTTAATGGTTATTAATAATATTAATTGATGCCTTTGACATTCATAAATATTTTTCTTGCGCTTATGAAAGATTATGATTTGTTAGAAATTATCTTTTTTGAAAGCCTTTAAATGATGATGATATAATTTTCGCAAGGAATGAACGTTAATTAATCGTGAAATACTTGTAATAATAACAATTTTTGGGTATATTCTTTTCTCTTTTGAGCGCAATACATTTAATTATGTTGTATTATGTGCAACAGAAATATGTTTAACTATTTCAACAGATACTTTTATGTTATTGTAGGAAGTAATTATTATGTGAAGAAATTACTTTACTTCTTGCCATGCGGCAGCGTCTGCAGTGGCAGACTATACAATTTTTGTTGCGCCGGTAGCCGGGATGGAGTTGGAAATAAATTGCTTTTACCGTCGGCAAATTTAGTTCCCAACGGCGACCGATGCGGATCGATGCCCATGATCGTTGCACTTGTCGGGACCCTTCGGAAATGTAGTAATTTTTCGTGGAAGGAAAAGCTGCAACCAGCCATCGAGAGATCCTTCCGAGGCTATTTTTTACGTTACACGTTGAACGAGACAGAGAATGGAGGAGAGCCCAAAAATATGTTTCCTTTAAAAATAACCGCTATCTTAGATGGAAGTTTGTGTGTGTTCCATCTAGCGAGATACGTTATTTTGCAGCATAACACGGACGATGGAAAAAGATGGGTGGGCATTATTTTCAGTTTTCGTCGTTGATTGAAGATACGAAGTCACTTGGCGTAACTGCGCTCGCGCAAAAAATAACATTGCAATATCTATCTATGTGAATCTTGTTAAATGTCACAATCCATTACTTTACGCTCCGCTTGACACGTTGACATCTACTACATTGCCCTCGATATTCCGATATTCTCGTGTCGCCGACGTGATATTCATGGTAGAGTACCTACGAATAATGGCCCACACCAACACGATATTACGTATTAAATTGCTATTTGTCTATCGATTATACCTGCAAATCCAACAGTATCCAAACTTTTAATTATTTACGATATCACATTGTTTATGCGTTGAAAAATGAATATAATTACCCGCCGCGATGTAATATTCCGGAATTTGACATCGATGCAATGACAGTTACAATAACATTCTATATATACAATGTATGATATCAATTGGAAAGTGATTGGGATGAAATCCGGGATTTTATTTTTTTCCGTATGATTGATTACGTCACTGTGGAATTGCTATTAATTATGAAACAATCGAGATGATACACGGGTATATTTTAACGAACTTGTCGTAAATTCTGATATTCTTGATCACCGCATCGTAGTCAACGTAATCTGCGGTTTAATGGATTGTTATACGATCTTGATGATGCATGAAGTCAATTGAGACGTCGGTTAAATATAGCATCAAAGTATCGAAAATATACACAAGATTTATATTTAATTGTACATCAGCTTTTTACATGATTAATAGAATTTTTTAACATAATAGAAAATAATTGAATATTATATATGAAATATATGATATGAATATTAGATATGAATTAAATATGAATATTAAATATGATGTCAGATATAAATATTAGATATGATTATTAAATATTAGAGATATATAGATTTATACAGAGATATATAGATATGAATATTAAAAATGAAAATAATGAAAAATTTTATATCAAAAATATTTGTTGAAACTGACATTATGGTTTGTAATAAAATAGTTTTAAATAAAAATTATATAATTAACACGAGATTGCAGATGTACTTAAATCGTCGCTATGACACGTTTATTGAAATAAAAAACGCTAAGTTAGTAGTGCTTGCTGATCCAGAAAAAAAGAAATCATGAAACATATCGTATCGGCCAAGCTGTATCGAGCGAAATATAAAGTGTTATAAGATGGAAAGAAAAAACGGAAAGAGAATGGGATCGGAGAGGAGGTCTCCGATTGTAATTAAATAAACGTCCCGGTCTGTCCGTCGCATAAAGGCGAAGGGTTTAAAGGGTCGGTGCGCTCGATCGATGCGATCTACAAAGAACTGAAACAATGTTTCAGGGACTCTCGCGTGCCTTTTTAATGATTTATTAATTACTCTTGTGCAAAAGCGGGCATTTGGAGTCTGTACACATCGCAGGGATAATTACAAATTCGTCGAGTGTACGGCTAGGAAACGTGATGTCGGACTTCCTTTGCACTTCGCCGGAGGAAGTCTGGCGGAGAACAACTTCTTTTCCGCTGTGACGACTATATCTCAATTAAGACGCGCGGCTTTATAAACGTTGCAAACATTGAAAATTATATTACATTGAATCTGGAAAAGAACACGTCCGCAACTCGACAAGATGTATACATTTCAAAATATATGAGATTATTTCTAGTCTTAAATACCTTGAATGTTTCGTAATGAAACAGTTTTGTGTTAATCAACGTTATATTTTTGTCTTACGTCTACGTTAGATTTTTTCATCGAAAATATTTTTTCTCTGTCTGGCGTAGAGGACAATGATGACAACAATTCCTTGGAATGGCATACATTTATCTCGAAAGACGCATATATTCAGAGACTCACACATTCAAATATTCATATTGTGATTTACGATATCATTAGCGAAAGGAAAATAAAAGTCAATGTCGCAATTAATTGATGAATCACACGCATCTTTAATGTACACTTTTATCGCGTATGATATCGTACATAATATTATCCGTCCAAGTATTTATACGGAGTATTCGTGATGGAAAGTCTCCGAAAGGAATTTACAATGATAGTTGCCGTCATACCGGATATATACATGCGGAGTCCGTGAGCGGTAGATCAAAATCGATATACCAGGCAGCAACAACGCATGTGTAATTTCGCTGCGGGGAAAAGCGATATCCATCTGACGGGATCCTCCAAACTTTGAAACGCTGGCAGCAATCGCTCGGGAAATCCCGCCACTGATTAGACCTATTCCATTCTAAACGAAACCGAACGAGACCGCTTGAACCGATCGATGGTCCACAAGCGCATCTTTAATTCTGATTAAACGTGATCTTTGCGAAACCGAAGCTCGGCGAAATTTCTCTTATTCTCACAATGGAACGGCGGAAACTTTATAAATTCGTGGGAGTTTGCGAAATCGAACGGCACGCGATAATTCGGGTGAATACCATCGATTGGATATTTGATTAAAATTTTGCTTTCCGTCTCTATTATTTTTCATTAGAACAAATTTTAGCTTCTTTACGCTGCTAAAACGAATGTCACACATATGTGATCTTAATCAAGATTATTGCAAAATAAAACTTTCACGCAAACTATATAAATATCATGTATAGTACTCTCTATATTCATAAGAGATTATAAAATTATATTCCTAGAAAGAGAGAGAGAGAGAGAGAGAGAGAGATTTTCTTTCTTTTTTAATCCGAGTTTCCAAACTTCAAGAATTCTATATTTTTATAAAACGTTTGTGAATTAGCTTTGTCTGAGTGCATCTAATAAATGCATTTGACGCGCGTCACTGGCATTTTTTGCCCGTTGAACGATCCCGTTTTGTCGCCACTTCGTTGCAATATTGTATCGGTAATCGAGCAAATTGCTTCCTTCCATACAGCTGGTTTCCGAATTACGAAGTCCATAAATAAAGCCGTACCTACGGGGAATTTGTTGGCAGGAATATCGGCTAGTTGCGACCGTGACCATAACTTATCAGTATCGCGCGAACAGAATTCAATCGCGAAATAAAACGCCGTATGAAAGGCGATCGGAGGTTGACATTACAATCATATACATTTCGAAAAAATACACTTGTCCCTATAAAATTTTATTTTAATTTTTTCTAACGAGCGTACATGGTCACGAATCTGATTTAATATTGGAAAACTTTTCGTAGGGATTACCTGAGCGTTCTTAAACTTAAATACCTTACTAAAAATATTTATCGTTTATTAATACAATATCTAATTATCGAATAATATATTATTTAGAAAATTAAATATTGTTTAATCATAAAATTGCCTTAAACTAGAGCTTTTTATAGGCATAATTAATTATCAAAAGTGTTTTTTTTTTTAAATATTTGTGTGAAATTTTTATTATATATCATAAATTATAATCGAGAAATGAGTATTTGATATCTGCATGCTTGGAAAATAAAAAACAATTGTTTCTAATTAGTAATTAAATTTCTAAATGTACAATAGCGGAACACAAAATATGTGTAATTTTCTGTGTATCACTTCTGTGTATTCGACGTTTATTCGTACAATCTAAATACGATACAACAGTCTTACATCATTACACGCTAATTACATGCCTCGAAGATCTGTAATTTGCGGAGAGAAGCAGTCGCTTTACGGCATGTATCGTTTAATCTCGCTTTTGATTCACAAACGCTAACTGCTCCGCGTTTATCCCATTCTGAACGCTTGCTACTTGCTATTGCCTTGGCAACGTACTCTAAAGCCGTGTATAACATCCGTGTGTTTCGTATTTTTCGCTTAATTTAAATTGTTTAATTTAAAAAAAAAAAAACAGATTTATTTATAACAGAAAAAGAGAAGCTTACACTAAATATCTCAAACATATGCGAATATGTAAATGGCTTACAAAAAAATATTTTGTCGCTAATATTTATAATAATTTTTACAGATTACATTAGATTATCGTTGAATATCGAAATAAATTTTTATATTGGCAAAGAGATGAAATTTTGCTTGCAAAGTATTTATTGATTTAATTTGAATTAATATTATCAAAGAATTTTGAATAATATCGAAGTTAATAATTCAAAAAAGAATATTAATATTTAATATTTTTACTTTATGAAATAAACTGTTTGTGAAATTCTGATAACTGTGATAATTATAATTTAATTCACGAGATTGTATGTGTATGTGTGTGATATTGCAACGATTTCTAATGGATATTCCACGAATGATACGTAAATTTTACGTTATATTATTTTCCAATCCGATTAAGGCCAGGGAAAATCAATCTTGGATTAGCAAGAATATATCTGCATTCGTGTAAACTACCTCCAAGTGATTATCCACTTGTTAATTGTCACGTTTGTTTTCTCGAGGACGATTCTAATCATAACGATGGAATAAAATTGCAGATACATATCGCACCACTGAATTACTTATCTATATTTACCGACAAATATCACGTGGTTATTGATAAATCGTGGCAACTGCGATTTATTATGCTGATACAGAATATCGAGACGAAGATAGAACTGCACGTGATCTCGGAGAGCGACTTTACTTTGTACAGCAAATAGATGCGAAATGCAGTTTGCAATATATTCCGAGAGATTGGCTTCTACGATTTCCCGAGAAATTGGTGCTGCGGAAACTCTCGGGATGCCTCGCGCGGATATTTTGTCTCCAAGACCGCGTTTCCTGTCGCCGCGTTTACGAATAATTCAGCGGCGCCGACTTCTCCTCAACAGGTGGACGAGTCGCGCGCTATTCACGGCTTAATTTTAGAAAGTGTTAGAAAACGATGTGAAAAACCGAGGTCGAGGAAAATCCCGAGCGTCGTCTTTCGCTCGAAACGATCGTGTTGGGCAATCGCTCGGCGGACGAGCCGAAGATTCTCTGCTGCTGCTTTCGCGCAAAGGCCATCGAGAGAGTATGCCTCCGCTCCTTCTCTCTTCACGGTTCAACCTTCTCCTCCCTGGTTCACCTTCTCCTACTCCACGGAATCCGCAGGTCGCAGGTGTACGAGCCGGCTATCGGCGCCGCTTGGCCGTCGTGCCGCTTTCAGTCACCGCCTGGTCGTCGCCAGGTTCAGCGCCTTTCTCGATACTGATTTCGCATTAGTTTGTGGTGCGATAAAGGGATATCTGTTCGGTTCCGGTTTATCTTATCATACATTAGCGACAATCGATATGATTCGTTGATCGCGTAACGTGTCTCGAATAAGATTACGGTGATATCATAGAGAATTCACACTCGAGTTTTGTCAGTATTTTTCCATTTGCTGACTTTGAAAAAAAAAAAAAAAAAAAAAATGTACACGAGAAAGTGCCAACGTGGTGCATTTCATCGATAGTGAAGTGATGTTCGAATGGCATGTTCTGTTTTGCAATTTGGCATTAATATATATATACGTGAACGGAAGTAAATATTCAACATATGCATTTTAAATGCAACATTTATATTTAAACACGGGTAAGTCTTATGTTATATAATTACATATGTTTTATAGTCCTAAAAAACGTTATTCCAGAATAAACAAAAATTTAAATATTTTTTTGCAATATATTATATGTATATAAAACAAATCTTTTTATATTATTATAAATGTGCAAGATTTATCATGCATAAGTGCATAAATTAATTATTCTGATTTTGATTTGCTATTCTTAAATCACGAATAATGTAAATACGTAAAGCAGACACGATTTAGTCATGTATCTATTTAACAAGTAAAATTTCTGCTAATGGATTACATAAATTGTAACTTTGTCGATTTGAAACTACTTTCACCGATATATATTATGCATGATCACATTATTACGTAATAATGACTTTATTACTTTTCTCTATCGGAATTTTATTATATAATTTGTATAATTCAATTTTATCGCGACGTGAGTTGAAGCTCTATTAGTTTCTGTAGCACGTTTGAAAATTATTGTTATACCGGTCAAGAACACACGAAACTCGAAAGCGTGTCGCGAATCACGCGACAAAGCGACACGATTTAAATAAATTTTTGTTGCCTTGAGCAGCGGTTGGCTCAATTCTAATATCAGAAATAAACGAAAAAAAGTACTCTTGCGATACATAATAAGTGCATGATTATCCCAATTTTATCGCTAAACTATACTGTACTTTGCTTTAAATCAAATTATTGAAATGTGGAAGCTTGAAATCCGTCATTTAAGCATATATGTTATTGTAATACGTAATTGAACCATATATGTGCAGAAAATTAAGTTGAGTTTAAATATATATTATATAATAGACATTTCTGACAACATTGGGAATAACGATGAAGGACAGCTTGTCAAACTCATTATCTCATAGTTTGAAGTGCAAATTATAACGTATATATAGCAATCCTAGGAATAATTAATGCATAGTGTGTAATTTTTTAATATTTTTTGTTATTATGAGCTGTCAAAACTTCACATATGTATGCATGTGTGCAATCATTTTTAATAATTATCATTTTCAATAATACAGAGAAAGGCAGAGAAAATAATTATGTTATAGAGCTTTGTTTGAGAAGAATTACATTTTCAATAAAATAAAATAAAATATCTCAATTTCGACAATATTATACGATTCATTTACGAAATCAGTTACTCTCGAAATATTAATTTCTTTTGTTATGATATTTTATATTTATAAATGTCATATTATATTTTTATATTCTCGCGAAACGGAATACATGAATTATATTGCGAATAAAAACTGTTAGCTTATGAATTAAATGTATTATCTGATTAAATTCCAATATCGAAGTAATTGCCGACAAAGTTGTCTGCTCTTTCTCTCTCTCTCTCTCTCTCTCCCTCTCTGTCTTTCTCTCTGCCTCCCTTTCTCTTTATCCCTCTCGCTCCGATATCTCATAAAGAAGTTGGCGAACAGTCTGGAGAATCAGCTCCGGTTGAGGAATCCAAGCGGTCTTTACGTGTCTGCGCTTCCTATCGTTACGCAGTTGCTTCCGGTAACGGGCGCAACAAACCACGAAGAAACTGTACGATACAAACTAACGAAATGCTAAAGGAAGGCAGAGAAGGCGGAAGAATATCTCTTAATAATTCAGAGAGAGAGAGAGAGAACTCTAGCGATCAATCTTGACTTACGACTACGTTACGTCTTTGAAATTGCACATGTAATAGCAACTAACTCAGCGTTACGAATTACGAGCCTTGATATGCTTTTAATTTTCCCGTTTATTTTCTACAATATTTAATCCTTATTTCCTTCTTCCTATTTACAATAGAGAATTATAACGAGCATGTTGGCATCGATTTCATCAATCAATCAATCAGATATGCTAATATAATTAAAATAGGATAGATGATCAATATATGGTCAATGAACATTAGAGTAGATATCACATCATATTTGTTGAAAGAAAATATTAATTTTGTCATCTGTATTATTCAGTAAACTTAAAAACGCGTGCATTTTTAAAAATCAATTATGAAAAAGATATTAAAATATGAAATTGATGGAATAATTAATGAATTATCATTGTTAGCTTTGACAAAAATTTGCTTTAATATAAAATTATATAAATTCAATATTATAATTTTTAGTATTAAAGTATTAAAATATGAAATTGATGGAATAATTAATGAATTATTATTATTAGCTTTGACAAAAATTTGCTTTAATATAAAAATTATAAANNATCTATATATCTTATTATTTTTTTTTTTTTTTCATATCGGATTAAAATAGGTTCAGTGGTCATTCACTGGATGGTATGAACGGTCATTCACATATCCTTATCCCGTTGGTCATAATTCGCTCGCCGCTGTTCGGCAATCTGTGACGATCTGTAACGAATCTATTCGAATGGAATTTAAATTGAAGCATAGCTAACACTGGTATCGCTCGCGATAAACTCGTGAGCGAACTATGCGCGCAGAGGGATTCTTCCGCGCGCCTTTATTCGCACCATCGTCGAAGTATGCAGCGAGTTATGCACAGCGTGTGTCGGAGCTGGAATCAATCAGATCGATTGGCGTTACACGCGCGCGCGAAACCGTGCGATGTGTATCGCATTTCCGACCTTCGTTGGGAGAGTATTGTTTCCTGCACGTCAGAGAGTACGAGCTCGCGCGTCCGGGTTTGTGTGTTAACGGATACGCGTTTCGGCGACTGTATTCCGGGCTGATTGCGCCGCCTGTTGCGAATCCACACATACCGCGGCGGCGATAAATAAGCCGCTTACGCGGTAATCTAATCCCCGTATAGTCGTTTTCTCTCTCGCGGACGCGCATATAGCGGTGCGGAATGCGCGTATTAACCGTAGCCGGGAAAGAGAAAGGACGAAGCTGCGGGAGACGGAGGAGATTGTCTTGGATAAGAGCG